TTGGATTAAAAATGAGTATAATATTATTTATTGTAAATAATAATAATTATAATAAAATTATATTAATAGGTATAATTTATTAAAAAAATAATAAATAATGATAAGAATAATAATAAATATTAGAAAAATGATAAGAATCATAATAAATAATAATGATACTAATTATAATAAATAATAATAATATTAATAAAAATGAAAATAATAATATTTATAATAATAAATAATAATAACAAAATATATTCTGATAATTATATTTTGTAAAATAAAATTTGATACCCAGAAAGGGCCGTTCTCAGACCAGAATGGGCCGTTCTGGGGTTACAAATTAACCCACAACGTCCATCTATGGAACGGCCCGTTCCCAAAGTGGAACGGCCCGTTCCCAAAGTGGAATGGCCCGTTCTGAGTTCGCATTTTACTCATAAAATTCATTTTTGGAACGAGCCGTTCTGGGTTCCACTGGAAGCGAAAATACCCCAGCATAATCGATTATGCTTGGCCACATAATTGATTATGGCCTTGCATAATCGATTATGCTCAGCCATAATCGATTATGCAAGGCCATAATCGATTATGCAAGGCCATAATCGATTATGTGGCCAACCATAATCAATTATGTTTCCTTCGTATAATCGATTATGCATGCATGGGATAGGGGCATTTCCAGGTTTTTACAAATTCTACTTGGCTTTCTTCTCCTTTCTTCGCTATTGTGCGAGGACGCGAACCACGCTTCTCCCCCCTTTTCTTCGCCTTTCCGTCGTTGCAAATCACTGGAAATAAACAACAATTTTCTTCGCTTTTCCTTGCTCGTGAACAGTAAATCCCTGGAAACAAACACTACCTAAGCGTTTTTATTATATATGAAAATTTAATGAAACTAAAATAATATTTATAAGGGTCTCTTAAATGCAATATATTAAAATAACTATAAAATATTTGTTGTGTTAAGTTTGGTGAAAAATACTTGAAGTATGTGATATCCTTCTACAAAATAAGTATAAGTATACTTGAAACTTGATGAATATCATAATATTGATACAAATTCTATACTTGTTGAATATGGAAACGAAGATAAATACAAGGTATAAGAATGAAAACAAGAATAGTTAAACTCATTTCTATTTTTTTACAATCTTTAATTTATACGTTTCATTGCCTTTTTCCTCGTAAAATTAAAGACTTTTAATATGTTAATAAAAACACATAATGTTACAATAAAAATTTAATAATAAAAACTAAAATAAATTTTAAAAAAATTAAATCATAAAAATTAAAAAATTAACAAAAATAAATATAAAAACTAAAAAAATCGAAATTATTGAGACAAAGTATTTTAACCTTCCGCATATAAAAGGGTACTTTTCTAAAGCTTGGTTGACTTTCTCTTTCTCCAGATTTTATCTCAGGAGCCTTGAAGGGTTTTGGGTGGAGAACACGAGAATGGAAACGAAACTCACAAGAACCGTAATTTGCAATGTTTCTTTTCTCCTCGCGAAACCCAAAGCTGCCTCCTGTACAATTTCTCTGACCTTTTGAAAATTTTCTTTGAACCTTCGAAACTTTCACCGATTTTAATTTTTCCTTTACAAATTCATTGATGATTTCCGTCTGTGTGTTCTGATTTTTAGGTTCTTCCGAAAAGATCCTGTGTGTATGATGGTAACTTGGATTCATGAGTAACTGAGATTCCTGTTTCTGGACTTATTCATAGGTAGCTATTTTGTTTCTCAATTTTGCTTTGAACGCTTCGATTTCGCAGTTTTCATTACGATGTAATTTTATTTTATTTTTAGTTATTTAAGCTTATTTTGGTGGTAGGGATGGTAGAATAGAATAAAATTTGATGTTAGTTTATTATGTTGTGCAATACCTAACTCATGGATAAGCTAAGACTACTGTTTTATCCATTTTTGATTTGGTAATGGTAGATTTTATATTATTTGTTTACACATATAAGGTAGTGGTAAGACTTCATGAGCTTGACGAGATACCTAAAATAAACCGAAATTTATTGTTTGATAATTTATGTTCCCATGGATGTTTTGATAAGATTCTAAGAGATCCCTCAGTTAGGTTTTCAAGAATGTCTTAAGATTATATTGTACTGAAGGAAGCAACACCATTATGTTAGCAAATTAATAATTGTAAATTGAAATAATTTAAAAAATTGTAAAAGAAAAGAAAGAAAGATGGGGTTAGCAAAAATTGTAATGAAAATAATTCTCTTTTCTTTTTGTGTATGCTAGTTTTCTGGTCTATCTTCTGTGTCACTCATTCCAATCATTTGTATTTTATTTTTGTGCAGTGTTAGGTGGTGGACCCAAACTAAGGTTATGTTGCCCAGTGTGTTGTCCTTGTGTTTGCCAATGATATTGCAGAGGAGTTGGTTGCAAGTGTTCTCAATGAGGTAATGGAAGTCTACATCAATATGTTTGTTTGTGATTCATCAAATATTTTCTGTGAAAGGCTAGATTAAAAAATAGTCAGAGTCTAATGAGAATGTTCATGATATGATAGCAACCTGATCAATAAACAAGGACTGAAAATAATGAGAGAAACCACGAATGTATGCAGATAGATAACCTTATGGATTCACACATTGACAGAGAGGTACCAAATTTTTTTTTTTTTTTCAAAAGGAGAAAAACAAATAAAGAACCTGCAGATACCCAAGTGTCAACAAGAATTTCACCACCTGCTGCATCAAAAGGAAATTTGCAATTGTCCAGCCATATCTGCTGTGATCTGCGACTCCAACAATAAAAGCCTTTTTGCCTAAACATGATATTGATTTCAGTGGAGCACCAATTTCCTCATAATCTATGACTACATCTATGCCCAGAATATCAAAATATCTTGACAGTTAACATGAAAGAAAGAAAACACTTAGTTTTAAAAAAAGTTATAGAGATAAACTTAGATATGGAATTTTGCCTGCCTAATTTCTTTCTTTTTAATATAGGAATTTTATTTCTTACAAATAATCAAAAAAAGGTGATTTTGGAGTTTGACTACCTAGCTGTAGTAGCTATTAGAAGAACTGGTTAAAAGCAGAGAGAGAGAGAGAGAGAGATATGTCTTTAACCAATTTGCTTATATTTATAAAGAAGCAGCAGCATAATAGAAGTAAGAGTGTAAATGTAAGATAGAATTTTCACTTATACTTGTGTCAGGGGTATGTTAGAATTTTTGTTCTGCTTTCGTTAGTTTTTATGATGTATGGGTGGCATAATAGAAGTAAGAGTGTAAATGTAAGATAGAATTTTCACTTATACTTGTGTCAGGGGTATGTTAGAATTTTTGTTCTGCTTTCGTTAGTTTTTATGATGTATGGGTGGCATAATAGAAGTAAGAGTGTAAATGTAAGATAGAATTTTCACTTATACTTGTGTCAGGGGTATGTTAGAATTTTTGTTCTGCTTTCGTTAGTTTTTATGATGTATGGGTGGCATAATAGAAGTAAGAGTGTAAATGTAAGATAGAATTTTCACTTATACTTGTGTTTGGGGTATGATAGAATTTTTGTACTACTCTAGTTAGTTTTTGTGATGTATGGGTGGGAATAGTTGATACATATTTTCATTGTATTTAATTGTAATAAGAACTCATTTATATTTCAGAAGATTATAGGTCTTTATATTTTATGGTGATAATATATTCTAATAAACACGAAAAATTTACTCTCATTTTTATAACAACAAATAAATTAATATTTAGTAAATGGTTGTGTCTAGTGTAATAGGGTGTTACAATATTCCTTTGCACAGTATGTTTGTCAACAAAGTGTTGACATTGCCACTAGTCATTCCTAACTAGAGTTGTCATAAAACACATAATTTGTGTTATTACTATGGTATTTTTTATTGTAATTGCAAAAGCAATGCGGAGCCAATACATTTTTGCATTTGGAGACATATGTACGTTTAGGAAGCATATTTTGAATATTGTCATAGCTGGTGTTCAAAAGTAGAATATGTTGCAGCAGAATATTCGGATAAACAAGAAAATGTTGAAGTCTATGCATCTTGATCACTGGTTCTACCTGTTGGTACCATAAGAGGAAGTTCTTATCATCGAATTTCTCAAAGATTGTATGATAAACCGTAAGTGGAGCTGTGGAAGGGGGTGGAGGAGGTTGATCAGCCATGCTTGGATCGTTCAAGCTCTTTATATTATGTTAGAGTAGAGAAAAAAAAAAAAGGATTGCAAACCGAATGTGAGAAAATGATCTTTATTGATTCTAAGCTCTTTATATTATGTTAGAGTAGAGAAAAAAAAAAGGATTGCAAACTGAATCTGAGAAAAATGATCTTTATTGATTCTTACATTATTTCTGTTATACCCTATGTATATATACAGGGATGCTATTACAGCTAACAAATTATCCCAATAAAATGCTAACTCAATTGATTTCAAATAACTATAAGTTAACCCGTCAAGTTACACGTAACAAAATTAACCCAAGAGATCAGTTATTTTAACATTATCATGCAAGTCATTTTATATTGTTGATACTTGTATTTATGTGAACTATGAAGTACTTACCTTTAAACGTTTATAGTTAGTATTCACCTCTAGTTATAAATTTAGTTAAATTATAAGTTTTAACTAATTTTTTTTTATAAAAATTATAAGTCAAGTAATTTCTCTCAGAAAAATGAATTAAGATATAACATACGAGTAAGGCTGATGAAACATATCACAAAGTAGAGCTACGAAAACAGAGTGTTAATTACATCAAAATCATTCACAAAATCTATTACTACGAAAACAGTTGTCAACATAAAATATTTGAGAGTAAATCTTGTATTTATCAATGTAAATTCAATTTAGGACACAATTTCTTTTAAAATAGAAAAATTCACGTTATCATTTCATATTAATTCCTTCTTAAAAGTACCCTTTAGCCCAATTTTTTGTTGCTCGTCTCTCTAAAAGAAGTTAGGTCAAACATAGATTTTAAAAAAATTTAGCTTATTTTTCCCTCTACACCTCTCTCTACTCTTTCTTTGTCTGCTCTTTGCTCCCTTTGACTTTAATGGTATCTCTAATACCATATTTGATTGTTAAAGGGACTCTGAAGAAAGAAAAAGGTGTATTTAAAAAATTGCATAAGTATTCTTAAATGGAAAAAAAGTGTAATAAAAAGAATAAAAAAGAAAGAAAAAGGTGTATTTAAAAAATTGCATAAGTATTCTTAAATGGAAAAAAAGTGTAATAAAAAGAATAAAAATGCAAAATATTAAGAAAAATATTTTAAATTAATGGTTAAATTATATTTTTGTCCTTCTATTTATTTTTAAAAATCAATTTGATCCTCTAATTTTTAAAAAAACTTAATGTTATTCTTTCGTCTAAATTGATATTAACGACGTTAATGAAATTTTATGAAAGGGTAACATTGAACATCATTTAAAAATTAAACGATCAAATTGAATCATTTAAAATGTCTAATTTGATCCCATTATTTTTAAAATGTTTAATTTAGTCATATAATTTTTTTTTTAAAAAAATGTCCAATGTTGTTTTTTCACCCAATTTTATTAATGTCGTTAGTATCATTTTGAATAGAAAAATAGTATCAAATATTTTTTTTTAAAACTAAAGAACTAAATTGAATCTTTTAAAGATAATGAGACTACGTTGAATCCTAAAAATAAATAGAGACTAAAAATATAATTTAGCCTAAATTAATATTACATTATTTTAATAATTTTAAATAAACTAAGAAGCCATTTTATAAATAATTATAATCTAATAGTATTTTATTAAAATTATTTAAACAACTTATTATGCCTCATTTTATTAAAATAAATAATTATTTTATTATTTGAATTGATTTAACATTAATCAAAATCTATGTATACTATTGTAAGAATAAATATAAAGATATTTTTTAAGCAAATGCATAATACCATATGCACATTGTAACTGTATCGAAGTATAAAAGTAAATTTATTCTTATTCCTAAAATTTCCTATCCTTCATCTAAGTCTTCATTAATATCTTATTTTCTTTGGTTTTACTTGAATGAGATATATATTTTTAATATTACTTATTCAATTTGGATAAATGTCTTCCTACTTACCTAAATGAGGGTGGAAAAGAGTTTATTTGCATAATTAATATTGTAATAAATATGATATAAAAATATTATTTTATCTTAATATATTATTATTTATATTAATCTTAATTATGTTTGGATCTTAATGGCAAGTTAATAATCATCTGATTTATCTTTAACTCATACTTTTGGTACGTTCTCGAAATACTTGTCTGAATAATCCTTGATAGAGATTCGAAGAGCCTTCAGTTTATCTCTTGGTCAAACTCTGCCCGTATGCACACATTATTCACTAATCTTACGAATATAAACTTTTTTTTTTTTAATATATTTTTTTTATATTTTTATATTTTATTTTTTTAACTAAAAAGAATCCATATACGGGTGATTGTGTGTTTTGAAAATAAATGCATTTTTCTTTTATCTTTTCTTCTCAAATTAGATCGAAAGGTTTTTCTTTGAAGGTACTGTTGAATATTCTTTCTTTCTTAAACGAAGGAAGATGGTATCTTTATCTTCTTTTCTTTACATACTAAACAAAGTGTTAGTGTTTTATAATAATAAAAAAAGTGAATAAAAAAGTAAAGAAAAATAGAAAATAAATAAATAAAGGTAAGTAAGAAATGAAATAAAAAATTAATAAAAATAATTAATTTCAAAAATAGAAAATAAATAAAACATAAAAAAGGAAAAAAAATTGTAAAATCAATTTTTAAAAAAACAATTGATTGTAAACATTCAATTGATTTTGCGAAAATAATATTCTCTCATATAAAGCAATTATTAATGGTCACCATTGAAATAATAAAAACAATCAATCTTCATCACTAGTACTATGTTACATTTTGGTTAAAAGTTAATACTTTTCATTTCTTCTTGTTTTTGCAAAGATTGAAAAAGGCCGAAACTTATACTTTTTTTTTTTTAAAATTTTAAAAACAATCTCTTTAATCCAATTTTGCTCCTCAAAACATACTCCCTAGACCATCTCTTCTTTATTTTCTCTTTTTTAATGTTTAAAAAATAAAAAAAAAATAAAAGATAACACTCCCATAACTATCGAATAAGAATCAATTACATGTTAGATATCTCTTTTTTTTATTTCCTCTATCTCTCTATCCTATTTCTCTATTATATTTGTGATACCAAACTAATCGTTTGGCATTTATTACAAAAATTGTTTAACATTTTCTACTTTATTTTTAAATCCTATCTCGACACTATATTTTAACGAATTACACATAGTTTCAATAACTACATTTATGAATTAATATATGTTATTATAGAATGCAATTTCTGAGATTCAAGAACACTCACCAATAAATGTTTAAAAAACGAAATTCAATGAAAGTCGTGCACCACACATGTTTTGAGATGGGAGGAGGACGAAGGTAAACCAAGGTATGATCGATGTAATGTATCTCTCAATTCACCAAATAAGGGGAACAACACCTAAGATCAATAGTCCAGATATCTCGAAACAAAAATGTAAAATATATGGATATTGAACGTACCTTGTAATGTAGTTTACTTTACATATTCTTTTTTACATCTCAAATTTCATACAATAAAAAATAATATGTAAATTTTTTTAGAACATTAGTTTGTATATCACTATTTTTATTATTACTAATATTTGAAATTATATTATTATTATTATAACCAAAATAATTAAATAGTTTATTTCATGAATTATTTATGTTTAACAACATATCTTATCCAGTTATCCTATTACCTTATCTTAACTTTCCTATATATTTGATTAGCTTATTATCTTATTTATATATCAAGTAATCTTACGTATTTATTTAGATTTAAATGGTAGATAAATTATCTTAACTTATTTTATAATATTTTACCTTATTTGAGATTATCAATAAGATTTGTTATTATATTTAAAGTATTAGATAAATTGTTTTTACTATATATTATCTTATCACATATATATATCATCCTATTCAATTTATCGTTAAATAAATAAATATATTATATTTAGAATTATCTTTCTTATATTAATTTTATGAAGATACATTATTACTCTAATTATAAAAATTAATAAGAATAGAGATGAGAGTCAGATAGACAATCCTACATCATAAAAAGAAAGAGAATGAGAAGAGTTTAGAGTTAGTTGTAAAAAAACACCTAGAGAATAGAGAGAAGAAAAATGGAAAAGAGAGGAAGAGAGGATAAGGTGGAAGGGAAGGAGAGATTTACTAGGAACTTTTTAGTAGAAAAAAATTTTCAGGTAAGAGGAGGGGTGAGATTATCTCATAAATAGGGGGTGCCTATAAAGATTGTGGGTAGTGAGACGATCTCCAAACCTCTATAGGATCTTTGATGTATGACTATAGGGATTGTGAACTCCCTGAAACAAGTGTTGGTAATACGAATTGTTTGTGCATGATTGAATATTGATCTAATGGTTGTTTGATTCATTTTTTTTGTTCTTATGTGTGGATTAGGGTTCTTCCATGTTAAACTAGGGGCTTATTATAATTGATGTGTATTGTTGAAACTAGAGTAATTTATTAGTGTATGATGCGTTATCGACATGCTTTATATGTGACTAAGTGTTTATCATGCTAAAACAAAAAGAAAGGATTAGCACGCTTATGTTGGCCAGTGCTAAAGGTACCACAATCATGCTTAAGGAAGCATGCCCATGTATGGTTGATTTTGAATGAAATACACTCATGTTGATTTTGTGCATAGTCGTGCACCCTTTAGAAGTTCGAATTAAATTTTGAGGTCACAAAGAGTTGTAGCCTTAATTGTTAGCTTTCTAATGACATTAAAACCACCTAAAAAGAAGATCTAAAACTTAAGTTATGATTAAATTAGTGAAAAAATTCAAGTTGTCAAATTTAGACTTAACTATTACGATATTGAAAATTTGGAATATAAAAAATGGTAAAATCAAATTTCAAGGTCAACTTAGAATTTGTAGATAATTATCTTAGATTTCAAATAAAATTAAGCCTAACTTGATATCTTGGGTATAACTTTAAGTATCATTTTTATACTACACAAGGTCATAGAAGCTTAAGATAGGAAAAAAGCTATCGTGAGTTATAATGGTGAGTGTTAAGAACCAAGACCAAACCAAGTCTTATATTTTGTTATGTGAGAGTTTAAAGAAATAATTGAGAAATATAAATAAGA